TGTTCTTTTCTTCAGTCATATCTGACACTTTGTGACCCCATTTGGGGTTTTCTTGGCAGAGATATTGGGGTGGTTTGCCATTTCCTTCCCCAGCTCATTTTACAGATGAAGAAACTGAGGCAAGCAGGGTAAAGGGACTTGCCCAGGGTCACACAGCTAGTAATTATCTGAGACCAGATTTGAACTCAGGGAGATAAGTCTTCCTGACTCCAGGCCCAGCACTCTATCCACTGTGCCACCTAGCTGGATTATAAATCCAGTGTTTCATTGTCGCTCCTATTTTTCTTCCTAAAATGCTTCTTTGCCAATCCACTGTTTAAAAAACATCACTAGTTTCTAACTGTATACAGGATCAATTTTGATTCATTAACCTGAAATTCAAGGCTCCTGCACAATTTGACTGGGCTATACTGATTGTGCAAATGTAGCACAGTCAGAGGCGGGTGACCAGTAGAATGATGACACTGACCTACAAAGGTGTGTTGAAGGAGTGAAGGTCAGGGAGAGGCATAACCAGATACAGTCTTGAAGTATTTTGAAGAACAGTTACATAGAGGGGAGATTAGGTATGTTTTATTTGAACCCAGGGGATAGAACTAGAAAGAAAAGGTAGAAGCTGTAGGAGACATATTTTACTTTGATATAGAAACAAACTTCCTAATATTTAGAGCTGTCCCAAAGTGCTACCTCAGGAGGTAGTGAATTCCCCATCTAGATCACCAGAGTTCTTCAAGTTAGAGCTCATAGATATAGAATTGGAAGGGGCCTCAAAGCTCCCTGAATGTAATCTCCTCATTATACAGATGAGGAAATGAAACACAGGGAGGTTAAGTGACTTATCCAAGGTCACATAGAACTCAATTCATCTGACTCCAAAACCAACACTTTCCACCATACTTCTTAAAGCAGAGGCTGGATGCTGCAGATGTTATAGAAGAGATGCTTGCTTCAGAATAGACTGGACTTAAATGGCTGCAGAGATTCCTTCCGACAACGAGATGATCTGATTTTGTGGTTCAATCTTTTCTGTTGACTTTTATCCCTCTAATACAACCAAACCAGTCTGCTGACTGTCAGATAAAAATTCTGGAATAGAAGACCAGCCAGGATGGTGGAGTAGCAGGAAGCAGTACAGTCAAGCTCTCCCCCACAACTATGCCACAAAGATCTAGAAAATATATCACATTGAGTCCTGACTGGGAAATCCAAGAAAAAAAATCATGAGTCATTTTTCCAGTCCAGATCAGAATAGGGAAGAGAGATTTTATTTTAAAAATAAAATTAAATGTAACTCCATTCCCAAAGTCCATTAGTATAGGACTCTGTTCTTATTGATGTAGATTAATTTCCTGAGCTAGTGTCAGGGGAAAGGTGGAGTTGGCAAGAGCAGGATAGAGAAGACCTTTTCAGTTCTTATCAAGTGTTCTTTAAGTTAGCTTTGAGTCATTTTGGGCACTTCTGGCTTCCAGCTTCAAGAAAGAAGATGGAGGACAAGGCCAACCCCATTTTAGGTGCTGAAGGAAAAGGATCTGGGAAGACAGGATGGGATCTGGCAGTCTCCAGCATGTCCCTATCCCCAGTTTGCTACACTAGAGACTTTGAAGAACTTTCTCTTGGATGAGATCTGGGACTCTCTCTCTCTTGATATCCATATTACACACTGTGAGAAGGCATCCTGTTGCTCACATTTGGGGAGAACCTAAACAGGATCCATAACTAAGCTCTGTTTTAGATTTGCCTTGAGTTTTACTCAGGAATGGGGGCAGAACTTGCTTTGGAGATGAAGTCCCAGGATCAAACCTAGTTCCCAAAAACCCAGAGTCTCTTGTCAAGGATGGAGTTTGCAGGGGAGGTATCTTGGGCAGGGTAACAAAAGTAATTTGAAAATGTTACAAATGATATTAAAGATATGCAGTAATACCAACTTCCAATGCTGGGATAGCCCCTTGCTTCCTTGTTGACAGCAGAGAATACAGGAAAAAGGTCAAGGAAGGTGCATCAGCTTGGAAGAGTCAGCTAGAAACAACAGGCTCCCTACTTTCTTGTGCACGTCTCAAGTGATAAAATGTAAGGATGAAAATATTCTGGCTAGTTATGTGGCATCTAAAAAGTTCAAGAGACATATTTTCTGGGTAATTTAATCATTTTATTAATAATGCCAGCACATTTATTAATAAAAGGATGTTCATTTGGCAGTCTTTCTCTTAGACCAAAGACAATCATGGTGGTGGGCTCACAGTTTATATACCCTTTGGAAGAGGATTGTTCCTGAGGGTGACAGTCAACTCTGATTGGTTAATAATAAACGAGAGGGGGACTTTACAAAGAGAAGTGAGCTCACTCCAGTGAGGGGGCTTGGCCAGAGAAACTATCCCTATACCCAGACCACCCCTAATCTTGGGCAATCTAGACAAAAAAATCTATATCCCCCCCCAAGTTTGAGCTAGTTGGGTAGAGTAACAATACCCAGAATGAAGAAAATTTTAATCTTATCTTCCATCATTCCTCTCCTTGAGAGATTGGACAAGGAAATAGGACAGGGAAAAAAGCTGAGGTCTCCCCAATTTTAATAACTGGCTGTTAATATGAGAGAAATAACTACTTGTCTCAGTTATCTAATCTACTGACAGTGAGGCTGCTGCTTTCAAGGCAGAGTAGGACTGAGCACCAGAACCTTAATTTGTTCTGCCTTAACGCTCATGTGTTTCTGGCAACTGGAATGAAAATTATTCAGATTTGGATCCCTGAGCAGGAAATGAAGTTCCCTAGGGTTCAAGCTGCCTAGTGAGCTGCCTGGACTCAAGATGATTTGAGTAACCCCTATTTGAGACTGTAATCTCACTCTCGTAATACTATAAAATGGAAACAAAACTTCCACTCATTTAGAAGTACATAATTAGGATACTTTGAGCAATCCTTGATTTTACTGGTGAGAATATTACCATCCACTGATAAAGATGGAATCCTCAATACTGTCTTATCTTCTACAATCTCATCTATACTTTGACATCCTCAATCAAGGTCCTGCTAATGACCTGAAAACTTTCCTGTAGTTCTTTTTGTATCACCAGGACAATAATATATTGTCCTACTGTAGCTGTCAATCTTTGGAGCCAGAAGAGACTTCAGAAACCATCTAATCTGACCCTTTCATTTTACAGACATGCAAACTGAAGCATAGATATACCAAGTGATTTGCTCAAGGACCTAGAGGTAGTAAGTGGTAGAACTGTATTTAGCTCTTCCAAACCCAATGTTCTTCCTAAACCATTATACCAAAGGGCAATGGATCCAACCCTCACATTTTACAGGTGGTATTTGGGTTTTGCAATGTGTCTGGAAGTCAAATAAAGTCAAATCAAGCCCAATTCACAAATACTTACTGAGTGCTTACAGCATGCAGGACAGTATACTTATGCTATGAGGGGATTCAAAGAAGTTTGGAACAGTCTTTGCCCTCAAGAAGCTTGCAATCTAGTTGAAAAGATAAGGAATTAATACTTGGAGAGTTAAGGAAACAATGTGAGAGGTAAGATAAAAAGACAAAATATGCCACATAAATTCTAGGATAATTTATATAGCCTTTATATTGTACCTTAATGTTGCAAAGTGTTTCACAAGTATTATCTCATTTGATCCTCACAATAACCCTAGGAGGTAAGAGCTATTATTATCTCAATTTTACTGATAAGGAAACTGATAAGGAGACAGACTGAGGTTAAATGACTTGCATAGTCAGTCTATAAGGCCAAATTTGAACTCAGGTCTTCTGGATTCCAAGTCCAGCACTCTATCTGCTGCACCACATAGCTGACACAATATATTTCTGTGGAAGAGGAAAAAAAAGTTTAAGGAGCCATAGGATGATTTCTTAAGGTTCATTCTTTCCAGTACTGGCTTTCATAATTCTGGATAAAGGTAGCTCATATTCAAGAACTGGGTCTAGACGTAGCAGACATTACTTCTTTCCTTAGTGGATAGGGAGATAAATGAGTAACTCAGCTCAGAGTGAGAGGGTTTGAATAGTAATAATTATCATTCAAGTAGCACTTTAGGGCTTACAAAGCACTTTGCATATACTTTTTCATTTGATCTTCACAAGAACCGAGGGAGGCAGGTGCTATTATTATCCCAATTTTATAGAGGAGGCAACTAAGGCTGAGAGCAATTCATTGATCTGCCCAGCGTCACACAGCTAGTTTAGCACTTTAACCACTGAAGTATAGCCCCATACCAATTTTGCATCATCATCATCATCAT